ACTAGTTACATGTGGCTATTTAAGATTAAATAAGATAAAATTAAAAATTCCTCAGTCTCATTAGTTATAATTTCAGATGTTCAACAGTCACATGTGGCTAGTGGTAACCATATGGGATATGGTTACCATTTTAATGTAGGACATTAAAATCATCCCAGAAAGCATTGTCGTATAGCACTGTTCTACATTACGATATAGAATATAAAGTTAATTTTGATGACCTTTTATCTTCTTTTTCTGCAGTATCCTCAGGATTATAACCTTGATAAGTAACAGTTAACAATTTTTTTAGGTTTATTTATTTATTTATAAAAGAACTGGGGTACGGGTCAGATGCGCAGAAGGGTAGGAGAATTCCCCAGAGACAGAGCGGGGAACAGAACAGGCAGACTGATGAAATACACTGCTGAGGGGAGCAGCGGGTGAGTCAGGAAAGGTCTGCCACGCCATGTGGGAGAGGCTGGGGCCAGCTTCACAGCACTGCGTTCAACCACCTGCGCCACCAGGGGAAGCCCAAGGTTAAATATTTGTTGAAAATGGAGTAAGTTAAATAAGGACTAGAAAAAAGAAAAGCTCACTTGCAATTTAAAATCTCTGAAAATTCAAGGTTAAAAATTAGGGTCAGGGCCTCCCTGGTGGCCTGAGGGTTAAGTCTCAGGACTATCTCCACAATATCCTGAGTTTGATCCCTGGCCAGGGAGCTAACCCACATAGCGCAGCAGACCTCTCCTGTCTCACTCGCTGCTCCCCTCAGCAGTATATTTCAGTAGATCTGCCTGTTCTGCTCCCCACTCTGTCTCTGGTGAATCCTCTCACCCTCCCGCCCCCACAACACACACACCTCTGGCCTACATCTTAGTTCTTCTATACAAAAATAAATAAGCTCTTTAATAAATAAATAAACTTAATACAAATTACACATTTCATTAAAAAAAATTAGATTCAAATCCAGAGAGGTTTTATGTAGAAAATATTGTGTAATTATATAAAGTTGAGAAAACAGGAAATTGGGCAAGATCTTTTGGAAATAATTTTCTATATTTGCTTCCAATTTTTATCGTAATAGACCATCATCCTTAAAAGTCAATTCATCTCTCTGTCTTTTTTTGGAAATAACTACTATTTTTAAGTTGATTTGGATAATTCCTTTTCATACTTTCATACTTATGCTCTGCCTTTATTTATTGAAAACAATATATGTATTGATTAGTATGTTTGTAAAATGAACATGAATAATCACTGTGGTAAAAAATTTCACATTCCTTCCTATAACCCACTATTTTCTCCTCAGTATTGTATTCCAAATATTTTTATTTTGATACAGTTATCACTTAGTTATTTCTTATTGCTCCGTAGCATACAATTTTATAATTATGTTCCATTTTACTTTAGGGTTTATATATCAATTCCATTGATGTACATTGAGGTTGTTTCAAAAGTTTGGCTAATATAAACAATGCAGCAGTAAAATTCCATATTTTCTTGTGCATATGTATTCTACCCTAGTCAGGGGATACCTAGAAATGTAATTGTTTGCTTACAAATTTTGATATTTTAACTTTGCTAGATACTACCAAATTCTTCTCCAAAGTATTTTAATGACTTACAGTTTTTTCCATAATGAATGCAGATTTTTCTTTCACAACAGTTTCCATTGTTATTATTGAATTAAATGTAAAATGCTATTTTATGGATTTTACTTAAAATTCTCCAGTTATTAAGTAGTTTGACTTGTAGCAATTTATTGACCATTTTTATCTTTTTCTTATTGATTTGTGAAAGTGTTTAATACACACTAGACAATACCCCTTCCTTGGTTTCATGCATGACAAATTTCATCTCCCAGTTTTTAGTTTATCAAAATATTTTTAACTTTGTATGTATATTACTTTACCATCCAGACATTTTATATTTACCTTCCATTGATTTTATCATGTTTATCAACCTTTACCTGGGTTTAAAAAAAAAAAAACTTCTCCTCCCTCAATAACATATTTTCTTCTTTGAACTTAAATGTTTATTTGGAAAGAATTGACATCTACATGATATTGAGTCTTCTCATTTATGTGTGTGGTTATGGTATATCTCTCTAGTTATTTGTATCTTTCAATAAAATTAAATCATGTCATTAAGATTATGCATATCTTTTGAAGTATTTAGCGTTTTAAGTTACTGCCTTAGTGTCTTAAGTTCCTGCCACTTAAGAAACATTTTATTTGTTTACTATTTGTGTACATCAACACTGTTGACTTCTGTATAGAACTGGTATCCAATAGCTTTGCTATATACCCCTTATTCCAGTAGCTTTGCAGTAAATCTCCTGAATTTTCTGCATTCACAATTATATTGTGCACAAATAATTTATCCCTTTCCAATTATCACATGTTATCACTTCTTATTTTAATACATTAACTAGGAACTCCAGTAATATATTCTGGAAGCAATGACAGTGAACACCTTTATTTGGCTTTGCCATTAATTATAATTTGTAGTTACTCACTTTTAAATATGTTATTTGCTCTAGGTTTTGATAGAGAATCTTTATCAGGTTAAGGAAATTATATTAATATTGTAATAATTTGCATAAGTAGGCTTATCAAAATAAATGTTGGATTGTAGGCTTTTCTACATGTTCTGAGATAGTCATAAGCTTTTTTCCACCATTAACCTGTGATGTGCTGAATTACATTAATAGTTTTTTCTGTTAATGAACCTTTAATTGATTGGAGAAACTCTTCTTAGTCATGACTCTTTCCTTATACATTGCCTGAAAACATTTGATAATGTTCCATTTTCTATTTCAATATCTCTATTCTAAAGTAATAACAGTATATAATTTCATTTTCTCACACACATTGGTTACAAGTTTTCAGTAGTCTCATAAAAGGCATCAAGTAATTTTCTCTCTTTTTTTTTGTGGAACATTTGTTTCTGGAACTCAATCTCAGGCTATTTTATAAAAGATTGGAAAGCTATTTTCAATGTCTCTTTTCCTAGATTTGAGCACACATTTTTTCCTATCTATAGCATCATTTTTACACTTTACATCTTGTAAAATCAGCATCATTAAGATGAACATAGAAAATTCAAAATCATCTCTAGGTAATGTTTCACACTTCATCTTATCTAGGAATATATTTGAGGAACCATATGGACTAAGCAAAAATTTTAGAACTTGAGTGGATAGAGGAATGTGAATATCAAATCCCTACCACTTCATTCTTCATATGAATTAAAAACTTGGACATTGAACTAAAAGGAAAAATGAATGTTTTTCTTAGGCAACTACACTAACAGGGAAAGCATATCTTTTAAAAAATAATAGAAAGTTAAAATTCTTTAAGTTTCTACAATTGTTAGAGCTTCCCTTCTTAAATCTTTTTTTTTTTTAAGGACTGAACAAATATGTATTTTTCTGCATTAACACTGGAGTTTGACAGGTATGCTGCTGTCATATAGTAAAAGTAGTGATGGCAGCAGGTGGCAGCAGCTCCCACTCAAAAATCCGCAGAACTTGGAGCAAACATTTTAACAGCAGGAGGTCTCCCTGGTAGTATAGCTAGTGCCTCTGTGTATTTAACTGCACATTTCAAACATGGAAAAAAGTGATAATGCATAAATCCTACTAACTAACCAAACAAATGGGGTTTTTGTGTTGGAGTTTACAAAGAGAATGAACAGCAAATTTATGAAATATAGTCTACACCAAGTGCACTTATGCTTCCTAGGCCCCTTTCTTCCTTCTCCCCTCCTCTGTTCAAGCTTTCTCTTGGGTCTTATTCAAGCCTGTCCATTTCAAGAAAGTTGGCCATACTTTTAGACTTTTTGCTACTTTTCATTAGATGACAATGGATTATGACAATACTAATACATGAATTGATAATAAAAGTGACCGCTTATTATTGAACTCTTACTATATGCAAAGCTCTCTTCTGACATATCACATATTCTATTTCATTTAATTCATATAACTCAATGAATTAGGTACTACTTTTTTTTCTCATCTGTTAGGTAAAAAAGTGCTATCTCTTTGTGTGCATGTGTCTGTATGTGGGTGATCTATTATCCCAATTTTATAGCTAACAGCTGAAATACAGAAAGGATAAGTCACAACTAATAAGTGGATGAGGCCAGAGGACCAAAACAGGCTGTCTGACCTCTTCACATTTACTCAGGGATGCATTAATCAGGGACTCCAATCCGAACCAAGATACAGGCTGGCCAGTGTTTTAATTCTGCTTCTTCAAGTTATGCAAAATACATATATTTCCAAACACAGTTTGAGAAATATATACATGGTGGAAAATTTAAACTTCTAATAGTTCAGTATGGAAAAGATATTAGAAGTTAGAGATTGAGGAGGCAAATCTCAACTTCTTTACTTATTGTCTGTGGAAATCTGAAAAGTTGTGTCACCACTCAGAGCTTAACTTTCCCATTGTACTATAAGTAAGTGGTGATAATGATATGTAACTGTTACTGTGAAAACTGAGAGAGCATAGAATGGTTCCTAAAACATAGTTAAGTACACCCTTCAATAGCATTAGTTCTTGTCCACTTTCCTCAATAAACTATGGTATTCAATTTGAATTTCCCTGGGATAGGGTGAACCTGGAAGAAGGATTCAGAGGGGCATAAGGGCAGAATTGATTATGAGGAAGAATATTGGATTATCGATTTTTCTATCTATGCTTGAGTACATAACAAATGTTTGTTGTTAAATTGATGATTAAAAAAACTCTCAACATTAAGTAGTTAGTAAATATTTTAAATATGTAAAAATGGAATCCTTCCAAGTATTTGACAAGCCTTTCAAAATACTGGGGTTCACAGATAATATTTGTTATTCCCGGGAAATTTATTTAAAACAAAATATTATTAATAGGGCCCCTGTATTGCTTTAAAGTATTCAATTTCTATTGTAGCATGATTTCTTTCTCTGATATGCTTATGCTTCCATTTATTTAATCATTCAACAAATTAGCTGATTTCTCTTCTAGACCAAAAACAGAAGATACTTGGGTATTTGCAAAATCCAATGCCATTCAAGCTGTTGGTATTATGTCATTTGGTGAGTGTATGGTTTCAGTGGTTCTTTCTCAATATGGAGTTGTCTGTACAGAGGAAAAGTGCTGTGTTTCATATTTGTGTCTGGAGAGCAGATGAGCTAAGTTTTAGACTTCCTATGATCTAGTTTGCATCAACATAAATTTAGGCTCAAGTGTTTCTCACTCATCACTAAAATTTGCTTTAATTTCAACAAGTAACTTTCTCAGGCAGCAAACTCATTAGAGTTATCTTCCTTCTTAATTTGAAAATCTAGCAGGTTTGACTTCTTCAAAACTTGCACACAAAGTATTATGAATGGGTTGGATATATTCAACTACTCTGCTGTGTCCCAGATAGGAAAGGAAAGCATGGAATGAAAATATGATGTTGTTTAGATTTCCTTTTAAGACTGGAAAGACCACTGGGAAGTGGAAAATATGAGAGAAATTTGGATAGATCTGGTTTATATCAAGAGTGACATGAAGAGACCATATAAGCCTTATGTAAATGAAATTTCACATTTTGAGAACTATTAAAATATTATGTCTAGTAATTTAGTCTATTTGAACCTTAGTACATTAGCATTCTGAAGTAAGACATCTCTGAATTTTTTTAAATAAGAAGCGAATTCTGGCACTTGCTTTAATTATTTTTTTTTTAATTGTAGCATTTATTTGCCACCATAACTGCTTCTTAATTTATGGCTCTTTGGAAGAACCCACAATAACTAAGTGGTCCCGCATCATTCACGTGTCCACCTTGGCCTCTGTATTCATCAGTGTTGTCTTTGCTACATGTGGATACTTGACATTTACTGGCTTCACTCAAGGTAAAATAAGAGATTCAATGTGGTCGTATTTTGGTATTCATGTGGAATTGGTGCTCTCACTTCTTGTTTTTGGTGTAATTAATCCCAAATATCTACTTTAAAGTATCTCTTCTATTCATTCTCTCCTCCTACTGACTCTACAGTTTGTTTACCAATTTTCTCCATTTTTAACTGCTGAATTTATTTCTGCTGTCCATTCTCTTTCCTTCCATATTTTAGCTTCAAAGCTCATGAATTCTGCTTATCTCTCTACTACTTCCTAATAATATCACTTTCAAAGACACCAATATCCTCTCAATCTTCAGAACTAATGAGCTTGATTCTCATGGACCTCTCAGAATCACTTAAGAGCTCTGGTCTTTCTTTCTTTCCTCCCATAGAGGAAGGACACATTGTTCACTCTGTTGTTTTGTTTTTTCCCCTCAGAGTAGTTCATCTTTGCTTCCCCTGCCTCTTTTATGCCCTCCCACCCCTCCATTAACTGGTTCAGGCAAGTTGTCTTCTTTTCTCTCAGCATATTCTCTGGTATTGTTTTAGATTTTATCCAGACCTTTCTTTTCATTTTTAGCTGTTCGCCTGCAGAATATTTCTTTTTAGCTGTCCCATTCTGACTTTAAATAAAAAATATCACTTTCCCCACCAAACTAGCCCTTCCTCCTCTTCTCTCAGCCCCACACGGAACAGAGCACTTCTTTTCTCGACAATCGAGTGGTCATCTCTTCTCTTCCCTTGACCCTTCCGTTCACTCACCCATGCAGTGTAGTAATCACGGCATTCTGACGGCCTGCTAAATGCTGTGATTCATGTATATCATAGCTTTTGCAAGTCTGTTATTTCATCTGACCTTCAAGCAACCCATGAAGCTAAGTGGAATTACTAGTTTTACCTCCTGCTTAAAATACACAGAAGTGAAGTAACTCGTTCAAGTTGGCTACTGGCAGAGTAGGAAGCAAGTCTCCTGACATCCAGTCCAATTTTCTTTCCATTCTTCTGTCTTGCTTTCTACCCAATTTTGGTCAAGTGTAACACTTTAAGCTGTCTCTTAGCCTCCAGTTCCTCATCTCTCAGATGACGCTAAGGTACTTTAGGGTAGATAGGGCACTGATTCAAATAGAGGTTACAGGTGACAATAAATATAGGCAGAGGTTTCTTTTTTTTTTTTCTTTTTTTGTGGGACCCTCGCTGGTGGCCAGGGATCGAACTGGCGCTGCAGTGGCTGCGGGCAGCCTCACAACCCAGGGCTCAAACACTGAGCCACCAGGGGAGGCCCTAGGCAGAGGTTTCTAAGAAATAAAGATAGCTTCAAAAAAATGATTAACACAGTGACAGTGCCATCAAAACTATATGTGTGTCAGTAGATCAAAAAAACAAAGTGATTTCAAAAGTCTTGATATAAATTGAAAGTCTTAAAAAACAATCAAAACACTGCTATGTATTGGTATTGCTACATGGTTACAAAGTTGAATGATCTATAGTCTGGTTTATACACAACCTTGGTTTTAATTGCCTTTTCTGTAAGACATAAACCTTTTTCTTAGTCACACCTTCCTGGTGATTTTTTCTTGTGGTAATTGCTCAGACATAATTAAATTTTTGTATAACAAAGCTGACAGCTTGGTTTTGGTGGTTTTCTTTTTTCCCTAGCTATAATTCCCTAAAATACACTTTAACGAAAGCTGGAATAAGCTGACGTTGTTTCTTCAGGCTATTTCACCTTAGGCAAATCTAGTCTTGTTTGTGCAAACTGTGTACTTTTTTTCTTTTCCTTTTCAGTAGATAAGTTCCAACATGTGACGCAATAAGGACTCTAGATTGTTCTTGACATTCCAAGTGACTTTTGAAAAGATGTAGGACCTATTTTTTAGTGGAGTGTGGTAAACAATAATTTTACTCCTTTCTTTCCTCAGCATGCCTAAACATTTTCCATCAACCTTGATGCAGGTCTCTGCCACTACTGCTTTATGGTCTAATCCCTTTCTTCCCACAAGGGACACTAGAAATAAATGTACATTTTTTTCTTCTGACTGGTGGGGAGAGGGGAGAAGAATCACTGAAAGTAAGTTTTGGGGACAGACTGGTCATTTATCTTTTTAATGAAAAAAAAAAAGTACAGAAGTGTCTTGTTGTCTTTTTAAACAGTGTAATATGTGACTTAGATTTAATTTTTTATTCAGCTTCATGGAAAAGTATGATTAAAAGTTAATATCTAAGCATGTTGTATATAGGAAATAAACAGGCCCAAATAATCTTTGTTTTGGCACTGGAGAACTTTTCTGGCTGACATGATTTTTGTGTCCTTGTCAGTTCCCTGAATTTCTTCATTTGCGTCTGAGAAAAAAAAGTCTCTAAATAAAGAATTAGTTCAAAGTATATATGGCCAATCATTTAGTTTGGAATCAGCTAGATATAATGCTTCTCCTGGGAAATAAATTTTTCCAGTTTTGAATCTGTTTCTTTACATTTGGCTTCATTGGATGCCATGAAAGATAATGTGTGTTGGAATTCCTTGCTGTGACCCTGAGTTGGTGATTAAATGCTATAGCATAATATACAGGAAGTTCAGCTACCCTGTCATACTGGTCTATTCTTCCTTTCAAGATTGGCCTTGATCTAAGAATAGCATTTCAAAAGGAAATTTGTTTATTTTAACAGACTTAAGGAAAAAAATAATGAAGTCATTTACTTACCAGAAACAAAGACCAGAAGCAGGTTAACAAAACCAATGAACAAGAATTTAAGGAGTGGATTCTGGGGTAAGAAGACAATGAATAAAGTATTTTTCAGGAGTTCATACATATTAAAGACAAACTTACCAAAACAAATAATAAGAGAAATCCTGTTACTGACTGAATTCATCTGCAAGTGAAACATGGACTGGTTTTAATACTTGTCAATAATTATGTAGTTATCAAATGCAAAAATATTTAGACTTGTAATCTATTAAGTTAAAATTTTTCTGGCTTCACTTATGTAATACATATCCAGTATCTCTTTTATTAGCTATCTCAAGTATCCAAGGTGTATTAAAAATTTCTATTTTATTTTATTCTCTAGGGGACTTGTTTGAAAATTATTGCAGAAATGATGACCTGGTAACATTTGGAAGGTTTTGTTATGGAGTCACTGTCATTTTGACATACCCAATTGAATGCTTTGTGACTAGAGAGGTAAGAACCATCCTTTCCAACACTTTGCCTAAGTACTCTCTTCAACATTTAATTTAGGAAGACTTGTACATTCATTTCTGTAGCCTTCCAAGTGTGTGACAAGTGATATGATTTATAAAATTTTCTGTCAATGAGTTTAAAGATAAACATGCATTCAAATGTTTACGTGATTTTTTTTTCAAAAGTTGAATTTGAAAATCATGTTTGGTGGTTTAGTTTATATTAGCCCAAGTATAAATATTTTTACAACTGCATTCCAAAAATGAATGCCAGCCTTGAAAAGAGCCAAACTAAGTTTTTTAAAAGAACATTCTTACAAAGAAATGAAATATTAAGATTTAAAACATGTTTGACCCACATTTTTTTGCTAAGATGTTTTTTAAGTCAACATATATTAAAGGCACCATAGAACAGGTTCTGATCAATTTTGTTATTTTTACAAAACTAAAATATCTCATTTTCCATGAAAAATAAATTCAATTTAAATCACATTTCCTAGATATATTTAATTTATGTAGTTATATTTCTATATCATTTGAAATAATATAAAGAATTTAAATGTTATATTTTTAATACATATTTCATTTATAAAGTCAACTCTAACATAAGTCATGTATATAGGTCCTCCTGGATTTGTGGAAGAAGATTACTTGAAAGAGAATCAATTTGTTTTGTGTAAAATGGGATAACGTTGCTTGTCAGAAATCCCTTATAGTCAGCTAAAAATCCACTGGACCAGTTAGCAGAAAAACATGCTAGAGCTTCACAGTGGTTCTTTCAGGAATCACACTGAAAAGGGCTTAGTTTAGGATCTGTTCCTAGAGGCTGTTTACAGTGTGCCATGTGAATGGGTCTAATGTGTGAAGTGAGGTGCCCACAGAGCTGAGATACACTTACTAATCAGCAGGCTTCTCCGGGCTGACCACTGCTTGCCTTATGCCAATTCTGGGGCTAAGAAACTGCCCAGGAAAATGGAATAAGCAAGTGTCTGCATTGTGTATGTCCTTTACAATTAGTGCTCATCCTCACTTATAAATGCATGACTCATGGGCCTTGAATATATTGGGAGAAATAGAGTGAACTAAGGTTTACTTTATGAAAAATTTTTAAATCTAAGAGCCTTTAAAATTTTGCTATTATTGGAGTCAGGAAATGGTTTTATTTCAGCTTCTGCCCAGTATTTTAGGTTCAGATCTGATCTCTAGATCAGCAATAACAGATGGTATATTCTCATGTGGTTTCTGGTAAACTGCTTGTGGATGATTTGAGTCACTCCACCTGCATAGCTTATGGCTTTAGTACTTGGAACTTGCGTTTCCTTTCTAGCCACCATGACAGGAAGACAGATGAAATCAGATATCTGCTGTGGTAGCAAATACTAGGAAGAGGAGGCTCATTTAACGCACTCCCATGTACTTCCTTTCTCCGTTTCTCCTTTGTGTGTGTGTGCACGCACACACAGCATAAACACAATCATACCTATTCATAGGTAAAGTAGCCAGATGCGTATAAGGGTGCCAAAAAACCTGTGCTAATTAATATTTCTCACTAGCCTGCTTCACTAAGTGATTTTCCACTATTACAGTCAAATCTTTGTGGTATCTACAAGAGCACATTTTAAATAAGATAATACTTTTAAGAACTTACCAATAATAAAACCAATTGTAAATGACTAAAAGTTATCAATATATATATATTAATTGTTAGTAGTTATAGCAGTGTCCAGTTTTTGGTGAATGTTAGTTATCTAGGAATAAGTAGAACTTACTGGACAACTAGCTTCAGGAAGGTCCCCCAGCATGGGACTTGTCATTTTCAACTCTGTCTCATTGTTCTTTTTCAGAGTCACCACATTATTCAGACTATCTCTTCTTTGTCCTCTATAGGTGTCTTTCCTTTTCTTACCTTATGCCCTTCTCACACCTTTGCTTCAGTCTGAATTCTGCTCTAAATCTTTTCTGTGTTTTAAGATTCACCTCAAGCCAAGTTAGGACAAGCAATTTCAAGAATGTTGCAACGTCTTTTACTCTAGGGGAGGCAGCTCTAAATAACTAAAGTCCCTTCTAGTTCTAAATTTGATCTGATCTTTTTATTCTGTCATAAACTGACCTCTAATTGTTTCATTATATTGGTTGGATCACTTCAATTAGGAAATGAATAGTTCGTTCCTGAACATAGGAATCACCTCCTAGACATTTCTCTTTGCAATCATACAACACTGTGGGACACATTAAATAGGTAGTTGCTATTTGATTTCTTAATCTCAAAATCAGTGCAATGTAGTAATCAATTCTCTATTTTTGTAGAGGAAATATACTTAAATTATATCAAATAAGACAGTTTATGTAAGGTTAGTTTCCTGTTAGTAAAGGGCATTACACATCCATTATTATTAAAAAAAAATTTGTGTAACTACTTCCTTAGAGGTCATTTAGATAATCTCAATAACATTTGTAGTTTGTTTTACTGGTGACCTTTTTGGAGTCAAGGAAGGTTATTACATGTGGGAAGAAGTGGTTGGGAAATAAGGTTAATTTCTCAAGGTCACTCTGATATTTGAGAAATACATTTATTCACATGTTAGTATGCCATCCTGGATGTGTAATAAAATTCACTACCTGTGTAACAGTTATGGAATATTTGTTACTGATATGTGTTTGTCTACATGTAAATACTTCAGAAAAGACAGATATTCGTGGTGACTTCAGATGTGATTAATTGCCTTATTGGTAATATTTTATACCATTCTAAGTGCTATAATATGAAGCACTCCCTCAATAAGATCTGTGCATGTCTCTGAGAATCCCTCCCTAAATAATCTGTTTATTTGACAGGTAATTGCCAATGTGTTTTTCGGTGGGAATCTTTCAGTCGTTTTCCACATTACCATAACAGTGGTTATCATTACTGTAGCCACTCTTGTGTCATTATTGATTGATTGCCTGGGGATAGTTTTAGAACTCAATGTAAGTACATTTAAAGATTTAATCCTTCCATTCTAAAAATTCCTTTTAAAATAATAATCACATTTATCATAGATGTATTTATTTTAACAAAGTTGACACTTTCTGAAGTAGGATGAAAATGCATTTGTTTGTTGTATTATGGTAAATATTTATAATGATGATAATGTGAACTTGTAGGATTATGTAAGTAGTCATTCTCCAGTGGGTGAAATTTTGCCTCCTCCCCAAATATGTTGCAATCTCTACAGATACTTTTGGTTGTAATAACTGACTTGACTGCTACCCTTATCTATTAGGCAGATATCAGGGATGCTGCTAAGCATCTCACACTTGATAGGACAGTCCCCAGTACAAAGAATTATGTGATTCAAAATGCCAGTGGTGCTGGCATTGAGAAACCCTGGATTAGAGCACTTTTTCACAATGTCATGTTTTATAATACATAGATATCACTAAAGATAACTATTAAGTGAATCTGGGAACTCCTTTGCCAAGTAAAAATAGGTCAAGAGATATTCATTAAAAATGTGTTAACCTATACCCCTAAAATATATACAGCAGTGTAAACCAGTGTTACCTGAACTGAAAAAAAAAATGTGAATGAAATTATAGCCATACTTACATTGACTTACCCTGGCCCAAGTTCTTTTTCTTTAAGATATTTGTTTCTACCTCTAGACATTTCCTTTGTAATCTCTACTGTCTCCTAAATGTAGGCCCTCATTATATCACATCTGAATTAATACTGGCTTTCTGCTTTAACTGCATATGTTTTAACTTCTGTTTCCCATTTGTCACCGTCCTCCTTTAAAAATCTCACGTTTTGGGCCTCCCCGGTGGCGCAGCGGTTGAGCACTGGGTTGCGAAGCTGCCCACAGCCTCTGCAGCATTGGTTCGATCCCCGGCTGCTCCCCGGCCACCGGAGGAGGGTCCCACATGGCGCGCAGACCCCTCCTGCCGCCCGCTGCTCCCCTCAGCAGTGTACTTCGGTCCTTCTGCCTGCTCTGCTCCCTGCTCTGGCTCTGGTGAATTCTCTCACCCTCCCGCGCTTCTGACTGTACCCAGTGCATGTATAAATAAATAAAAAATAAATCTTTAAAATAAATAAATAAATAAATAAAATCTCACATTTTTACCAGAGAAGCATAAATGTCTCTTCTCCTATAATCAGACTCCTTGCTTTCTAGGGAAAGTTACCATTTAGTTCCCAAAATCTCCCCTCAGCTCTTTTTATTTTTGACCTATGAGTAAGCTATGTTAACTCTTTTGTTTATCCTTTGGCTTATGTTTATGTTTTCCTGCAATTATTTCTTTCCTTTCATTTCTCTCCAGAATTATACTGAGTAGTGCTACATGGCTCACAACATAGATACAATGATAGTAACTCAGAAAGGATCCATGCTTTCACGGAGTTTACAATCTTCAAGTAAACATAAAATTTTAACTGCTTTATAGGTGGTAAAAAGACAAAAGGAAGTAGATGGGCTCCCTGGTGACATTTTTGAGGAAAGATTGATAGTATTTGATGATAGATTCAGTTGGGTGGATATGGGAATAGAAGGATACATAAAGAATGACTCCTTGATTCTACTTTGTGGAACTAGGATAATGACATCATTTGGTGAGAAATGAACAGAAGTGGACCTACTACTCCAGAATGACTAATCTCCTTTTATAATCCTTATGTAATTTCTACTCAGATCATCTCACTCACCATTGATTAGTTACGTACCATAGGGAGGGTAAACTTTTATGGGCGAGATCCCAAGTCATCATTTACTCATTCCATTGAGAGTTGAGGAAAAGGTAAAGGTAATTATCAATATTTCATTCACTATTCCAGATGCCTTTGGATTTGAAGTTTCAGACAAAAGCAGTGGGAGACTCAGGTACTCACTGTTGAGGATTTTCTTATAGCAGAGTAAATGGAATGTAGGTTGTAAGCAGCTTCTCCAAACCTCAGGAAATTGGGAAATCATTTACTCAGTCAACAATGCAAAAAAACAAAAACAAAAACAAAACAACAAACTCATAGGAGAGATAGACAAATGTAAAAAAAAACTTACCTACTTCCCAATTTTGCATAGGCCAAAGACTAGTAGACCCACTCAAAACCATGTTATGTTCTAACCTTGATCTTTGTAAATAGATGACTGTTACTTTAATGCTCTAACTTGATTTATGTGTTTTCTCATCTACACACGTCTATATGAACTGTCCATAAGTTTATCTTGTATATCAAATTGTAAGCACTTTGCAGAAAAGAATGGATTTGGTTGTTCTCTCCATCCTTGTGATATCTGACTTAATTCTAAGAACACAGTGCTCAAATTACTGTGTGGTGATTGTCCCTTAGGATCACAGTTGAGGAACTGCTTTTACAAATGCTCCTGGATATAAGAGACTATTATTAGTATAACACCAGGAAATTAATTTTTTACATAAACTGTCAGCTACGGTAATAGTAATCTTTCAACTCATGCAGTGAAGAGAAACAACATAATGATTTCTAGTCATGTAATTTCTTGTTTTGTAAAATATCTCAGTTCAGATCATACACACACACAAACAAACAAATTTTTTTTAGTATGCGAGAAAACATTTTATTGCCTGCCTGGCCACTCGCCATATCTTGAAAGCCTAACAATTTTTTGTTCCTTTCAAGTTAACCAAGTACACATATATATTTTGGGGGGCTGATTTTTTAAAAATAAATTTAACTATTGCTTTCTGTTGTTGATTGCTGATCACCCTAACACTTGCACAACAATATTGTAAGCACACATTAAATGTTCTCCGCTGTCCTTATGTTGAAGTTTTTTTTGTGATTAAGACATAATTCTGATATAGTAGAGTAATCATAGAAGAATATTTTGTGAATACCTATTATAAAGTCAAGATCTGAACTGGCCATGGAGGGCTATTTTTAAAAATTAAAGACATGATTCCAGATCCTTAGATTTAAAAAAATCTGGTCACGTAGACATTCATCAAAAAGCAATTAAAGAATAGTGCAGGATTGTCTATTATAACCCAATAGCCAGACAATTATACATTTTAAAGCACTCTATAGGAATTTAAAAAATCTGGGATTTCCATTCTCTTTCAAAATGCCCGAACATATATTTTCCTAATCCACATGTATCTTTTGGTATGCCTAACAACCTACTTAGATCTATGCTCAACTCCCTTTTGTGTGGGCATTTATCATGTCTAATAGAGTCATATCAAGCCTCTGTTCTGTCAGTAACTAATGCAGGCTGGGTCATGTAGCACGTAAGTAACTGAAGCATGTTGTGTTCAGCCTCAGAATGACAATATGAATAGGCATATATTGAGCAGCTATTCCGTGCCAAGTGTTTTGCTTGCATTATCTTCCTTAGTGTGTATTAATTTTACATATGAAGAAACCTAGGCACAGAGTTAGTTTGTGCTCACACTAGTTACAAGTAACAGAATCAAGATTTGAACACAGGATTTCAGACTCTCTAACTCACACTTTGAATGCTAGTCTGAGGTTTCCTAAATGTAAGGCTTTAAGTTATGTAAGATAATTACATTCATTTCTGTATCCATTTTTAAGCTAAAAATCTATGTATTAGTTTATCTGTGAAATTAAGAATAACCCCCAGTATATATGGATATACTTTAGTAATGGGTTAAAATAAATGCCAGGAGATGAGTAAAATAGAACTAAAAATTTTTATCTAATTTAATAATTTAGGGTTGATAGTTTTTATCCTGGCTAATAATTACAGTATTTGAGGAATTCTTTTCCATTGTGGCTTCTTAATTATTACTAAGCAGAACAATGATCTTCACAGATGAGATGTAGAGTAGAATAAGATTTTCAATTTGTAGAGTTATAGAAAAACTGTTACTTAGTATAACTAAAATAATATAGGATATATTCTTCAGGATTATATTATTTAATTAAAAAAATCTCATTTAGACATTCCCTTTTATTTCATTGTTTTATGGCAGTGAACGATAACATATTTTTCCTAAGCAAATACACCTTCCCTTTATTAGAAGCAAATAAAGCAAATGTAAGATCCATTCTGGGTACTAAGAACACTAAGAATACGGCATCTTGGCACTGAAGTTGCTGTTGGAGGGAAGAGGTGTCTGCTGTAATTGGGCCCCATGGGTTTCTACTTGCAGAAGTACAAAAAGAAAAGATGAAGCAGCTGGGGCCTGTGGCCAGAATAACAGGCCCAACAAGCACTGTGTGCAGCCTACAGTGGAAAGAAGAAAGCATGCCAATTACTCAGTGAGAACCCAGATTAGAGATACAGTCATCAGAGTGAGCAAGCCACAGCCCAGCCTCCTAAAATCTCCTGAGCTAGAGGAGTTTCTTTAGGGATAGGAATATATTTCATGATTCCAAAGTAATTACACAGGAGAAATTTGAAAGACATGGAGCCATTGTTTGATTTTGTTTTCAGCCTGCTTGTATCATATGAAAGGAATCTATTCAGGTGGGAAATTCAGATACTTTTCCAATCTGCATTGCCAGTAAACATCTTCAACACTTTCTGTTATTTTCTACAATGAACTGCAAAATGCCCTGGAAGTATGTAGTGGCAGGAAGGCACAGAGCAGGATCTCTATGATCTGGGAAAACAGGTAATGGAAAGTCCTGGAGCCTTCACAGGATTTTCGGGCTTTTATTGAGCTTTTTATACCATTTGTAGTGCAGCACACAGGTACACGGCAGGCAGGGGGGCCAGGGGGCCAGGAGGCTGGCAGGCTCTTTCTGGGCTCTCTGGCATTCTCTCATGGGCTCTGTTCTCTGCTTCTCCCTTGCCACTCTGCTGGTTCTGCTCTCGTTCTTCTTTCTGCCGTTCTACTGGCATCCCCCTGATGCCACTGTTATAAGCCCAATCTCTCAGCCCAGGTGTGCCCACCTATGCATGCCCACACCCTATTCCAGGTGCCACCATCAGGCATGCATGCAGGACCACAGGGGTCCATCATTAATGCTAATGTCATGAAGGCAGAAAATCCTGATAATTTTCACTTACCCTGCAAGGTGATAATATTATCAAAGAATTGTGCTGTCCTGCCTTTATAAAGAAGCTATTTTTTATTATTTCTTTACATATGTGGTATTTATATCCTGTCAAGCAATTTCAAAAATTATTCCAAGCCAGTGTTGTATTCTCAAGCAAGCCTATATTAAATAGATGAAATTAGCTGGACTAATTTATAGGAAATAGAGCAGGTGGAACTGTACTATCATTTTACTAATGATTTTATGTGCTTAACAACAACCTCTAGCAACACTGAGCTTCACATATTAAGAAAGTAACAGCTATCTAGATAAGACACCCAACTGGATTTCTTCCAGTAAAAACATCAGCTGTATAGTTTTCCCACTAATTGTTACTTTCTCAACTCTTAAGAATTATAACATAAACAGAACACCCATTGCTTTGCACTGCCCAGCAAGTTAGGTTTGGAAGCCTCCCAAAATGCTGACTGATGACAACTTCTTAGCAGCAGCTGGTGGAAGTTTTCATCCTGATAGCATTTTCACACTTGGTTCCCCATGAACTAGCTTCACATGTTTCTTCCTATAAAGAGAAGATTCTTTCTCTCCACACATGTACATGTTTCTATATATTTGTATTTCAATACTTTTTTATTGTCTTCAATTATTTCAAGGGACTCAAAGGGTAATATTTATTATAAACACAGACCGGGTTCTATAGTAGTTTCCATAACTTAAAAAACATAGTTTCTACAGCAGATCTCTCCTGTCTCTCCCACTGCTTCTCTTAGCAGTGTAGCTCATTAAATCCTCCTGTTCTGTTCTCCACCCAGTCTCTGGTAAAGAATCCTCTAGCCTACACCTATTCTCCGCCACAACACCAACCTCTCTGTGCTGTTTCCTTTTCAGAAAAACAAGCACACAAACAAAACCCCACATTGTTAGTTTCAAGTGTCACCACAAAGTGTAAGGAATCCATAATTCATTTAATTCCAATCCTATGAAAAGTAACACTTTATACACTGGATATCTTTGTAGGAACCTAAGAAGCACTTGTATTCAGGTGCTATGAATGGACAAATTATATTATCTATACATTTTAAATTTGAATACATTAAATTAGAATTGATACCCCTTAGTAGTTTCTTATCTTCTATCTCTTTCTGTATATTTTCCATGAAATGTGATTCCTCCTCTTTTCCAGATTTATAGATGCTGCCTGACTAGTCTGATTTCATGTATCATCCTTAATTCCCATTTCTCTGGATTTTGACTTTTTTTTTTTTTTTTTTTTTGAAAAATAACAGCATTGTTGTAGGGTCAGGAAATGGACACTGAGCAGGTTTTCTAGGATCCCATGCAGACCGGGTAAAGGAGGAGTCAGAGTCCTCAGTGGTTTTTGCAGGTCTTTTATTAGGATTTACCCGGTACACAGCAGGCTGGGGTGCTGTGGGGGCCGGGAGGCAAGTCTTCACTCTATCTCGGCTCTCTGGCGTTCTCCGCTTCTTTCTCGGCTTCTCCTTTGGCTTCTACTAATGTCCCTGTGACGCCGCCCTTAAAAAGCACAGTCTTAGCCCAGGTGAATCCATCTACCTATGCCCACACCCTATTCCAGGTGCCCGCCATCAGGCATGCATTCAAGACTGCAAGACTCCATCATCTATCCTGATGGCGGGAGGGCAGAAAAGCCTGACATTTTTCCTTACCCTACAATTGTGTTTTTGGAATCAATTATAATATTTCTGGGATGAGGATAATACTTACTATTAAACATAGCACTTTTATTAAATAGTGATATTGAGAACAGTATTCATTTTAAAACTATTTTAGGGTATAATTTACATGATTTAACTTCAAAATCAGTTTTCTATTACTTTTCCTGGGAAAGCTTTCAAACCATAAGTGATAGGTACATTGGGTTTTATTATATTATTTGTTCTATTTTTCTATATATTTAAACATTTCCATAATAATAACTTTTCAAATATAGCAAAATATAGTTTATAGAAGGCTATCCATTTTGGACCATGTCACAGCTGTTTTTGAGCATACATTTTTTTAAAAACTTGTGTTTTATGATTTAAAAGACTATCATTTGTCATACAATTATATTTAATATTTTTATTAATAATGTTATTTATTTAACATAATTAACATTTAACATGATTAGAAAAATATATAGTACCAAATACATTAAATGTTAGCAACATTTTATTTAGAAAGTTTCTAGTGCAAATTTGCTATATTGAAGGGAAAATTCTCTTTTCCTTTGAAGTCAGTAGCCCTTGATATTTTTACAATAGACTACACGACTCCCCATAATTTTCAATCTGACATTCCCCCTCAGGTTGGACTTATCCGTAAGCTAATGTGGGGTAGGGTGAAGGAGTCATAGTCATTTAGTTCTGCTGTCAATTTTCTAGGGTAATTAATATGTTTAGTTTTGCTTGAAAGAAGATTTAGAAATGCTATTTCACGTTAAGTGCCCTTAGGGTTACACTTCTTTCTCTTATAGACACTTGTTTTCTTGCATGTGCAAGTAAAAAGAAAAGTCAGTAGGCCTTATGTGCTTCTCAAATGTCCCCACTTGTACATAAATGACAAATAGACCTTTAAGATTTAAACAGCATACTAGGTATACAGTCATATGAAATGAAGAGTTTAAAGAAATATGATGTAACTGAAAATATGGCAGATTTTAAGAGTTGCCAGAAGTTGGTCGTACCATCTGCTTTAGTTTCTGTTATTTTCTGATCATTTTTCCTTAAGGCAGATATACTAATATGCTTTATTCTTCTCATTTGTAAATACACACTCTTTCTTGGAATTATTTTTCTTTCTTTGACTCAAATGAACCTATCAAGTGTTTAACTTTAACAAATATATTTTGTCATGTCTTTTAAAAAACTGTCCCAGGAATGTTCTTATTTTTTGTTTTCACTATGCAGGGTGTGCTCTGTGCAGCTCCCTTAATTTTTATCATTCCATCAGCATGTTATCTGAAGCTGTCTGAAGAACCAAAGACACACTCAGATAAGATTATGTCCTGTGTCTTGCTCTCCATCGGTGCTGTGGTCATGCTTGCTGGGTTCATTATGGCCGTCACAAATCCTCAGGACTGCACCCATGGGCAGGAAATGTTTTATTGCTTTCCTGACAATATCTCCTTCACAAATATCTCAGTTTCTCATTTTCAACTGACAACCCAACTTCCGATTTTAAACATCAGTCTCTTTCAGTGAAAAGACCGCTTTTTAAAAAATGTATGTTTTCATGGACTTCTAAACTGTATAATAATGTTCACATATAATAATGTTCACATGTTTTAGTGTCTGTATTATGAAACTTCTAAACCGTATAATAATGTTCACATATAATAATGTTCACATGTTTTAGTGTCTATATTATGAAACTGTTATTTTGGCATTTATCAAGATTTGGTTTTCTTTACTGTTTAGTCCAATATAAAAATAAAGAGGAAAATAAAATTGTATGTATTTTATGTTAAACTGGGACAAAATGTTTTGTTTTAATGATTGAGCAAGACTAATCTTAATCATAGAAGGAAAAGTGAAATGTTTGACATTTGATGCCATCCTCTGACAGTATTGCTTATTTATGTCAGAGGCAACATATTGGATTTAAAATAAGTAAATGATTGTAGGGTGCAATGTTGTGTATGTGTTCTTTATAAGGAAACTTCCCGCACCCCTCCTGCACCTTCCCACACACAATTTGCGTCCTTTAATCTATAGAATCAAAGGGATGGGAAACTTAAAACTATTATTGCTGGAAAGCAAAACGAAGCTCTCCATTGTAATTATAGCAGCATACCTTATTTTAAGGGAAGCGAATCCCTGGAAAAACAAGTGAAGTCCTTCCGGTGTTTTATTTTTTATTTATTTATTATTAAACTTTTTAAAACATATTTATTTATTTATACAAGCACTGGGTACAGTCAGAAATGTGGGACCCTCCTCTGGTGGCCGGGGAGCAGCCGGGGATCGAGCCCCTGATGCAGAGGCTGCGGGCAGCTTCGCAACCCAGCACTCAACCGCTGCGCCACCGGGGAGGCCCCCTTCCGGTGTTTTAAAGCATGAATAATAGACTGAATATTCTGAGCAAGGTGTGTAAGGAATCAAAATTTTTGATCTTATGGGAATACAATGGTAATCCATTACATGAATTATAAAACAGGAGTGGGGGATAAAACCCAAAAGTTGTTCTGAGGTATGAGCCCAAGAGATCTGTCATGCATCAACTTTGAACCTTTGAATCAGAAATGCTGGTGGGGGGTCCTTGGACAAATTCTTGGGAGTACTTGTTGACTAGATTCTCTAGATGGCACTAAGATGGAGTTTGGCATGGGAACTTTATTATGATTCATAATTAATGAGAGAGATGAGGAAAGCAAGATTGGATGGGGAGATGGAATAGTAGCGCAGTTAACAAAGCCTCAGTTATATCCACAGGGAGACTGGAGCATACATGGTCCATAAGCATTGGCTTGTTCAGGTGAAATAACTGAGTTTTGGTACTGCTGCCTCCATTAGTCGTCAAAGGTGGGCATCCACTGAAGGATGTGGCAGCTTTCTGCAACTGAGCAAACCATAAAGAAACTGAAGGCTAGAGGCTCTCTGCTGGTGGCTGGGGGCACCAGGTGCTTCCTTGAAGGGGATCTGGGAGGAAGAGCTGTGTCTACCATAGCTGCCTTTATTTCATGAGGATTTTTTTTACTTCTCTTAATGAGGATATACTGTCTTCTTATTTATAATAATCTTTTAAAAGTAACAGAAAAATATTTGGGACCATCTGTTGGTTCTTTTATATCAAGTATCTCCCAAGACTTTGTTTCTTACCTTTTCCATTTGTGTTTTAATCAAGTCAACAATCCTTAGTGCTATGACAATTACTGCAAAATAGTGAGCAAGTATCACAAACAGAGTTAATATGCATATATTGTTTCTGTACAAATAATAGGCAAAAAAAATCTCACAGGAAGTGTATGCGGAATAGTTTCATAGTCCTTTGAGTAAAGAAGTGGAGAGATCTGAATTATAGTAAGAAAGGCCCATTGCAAGCAACGGTAGCTGTACCTTAGCAGGCTGAGCAAAGCTGAGACTTTGAATGGTGATATTTGGTTCAATAAAACACAGGTCATGCCATTAAATTTCAGCTAAGTTCTGTTGGTTGTACAGCCTCTTTGTATTTAACATGTAAATTGTTTTTCATAGTTAAGAAGCATAGGGATAAATGATTTGTGCCTATTTTTAGATTGGTATGTGTTTGGGTAGAACAAACTAAGGAAATGTAAAGAATTTTTGCAGCACTGTGTCCCTGTATTACTCAAGATTGAGAAACACTGGCCTACATAGTTATTAGATAAAGTCTTGAGAGATGAGATTTCCAAAAGTATACCAAGAGAAGTACGTCAAGGATAACATAATTTAGCACTTAGTCATCTATTATCTTGTATTTCTAGTATTGCTTGTGATATGTTAACCTTGACTCTTCGAAGTAGATAAAAAGCTCCTGGTAGGAACTGTGTCACATTAATGCCTAGTAAATATTTATTCTCCCTTTTTTTTTTTTCTGAATCAACTGTATAACAAGGTTGGCTTTGACCCCATTACTAGCTGCATGGATTACCAACATCTTTCAAATTATATTAGAATAAATTTTAGGAACTCACATCTATTTTGCAAGAATACTTTCATTATTTTGCCACCATGCAGAATTTCAGAGTCCCCCCATTATCTTCTGCCTTAGTTTAATAAGAGATTTCCATGGAAGCACATCCCCTTCCTGCTACTTCTTGCTTTGTTAGCAAAGCAACTTGAAGGATTTAAACCAATTTGTAAGTTGTCACCACATTTAAATTTATAAAGTGCTCCTTCATTTTCAAAAGGAGGGGAGGGGAAAGTGTCTTTACACACTAACTCAAACATATCTAGTAATACATTTCCTTTAAGGGTATAGATTAGCAGGTGTCTGTATAATTTATAAATTGAGTCCTTGTCTGTTCATTTATAATAGAAACCTTAATTAAGCCTAATTTGAACCATCTTGAAATATCAGAACACTTGACTACCTTGCTTCTCACTGCTGGAATGATGTCAGCAATGAGAGTTGCCTCTTGTCTTCACTAAAAGGACTCTAAAATCCAGATTATACAATAAAAAAATCCCTGCTAGTGTTCTGCAAAGTTATACTACATATAACTAATTAATTAAATATCACTTTATTGGACAGAAGCAGGTCTGCACTCTGTTCAAGAAAACAGTACTTATTTGTTTTTAAGTAGTGTTGTTCTCTGATTGTCAGGTACTCCCAAGAGTGGTTCAAGCATGGACCAGCCAGTGACCGGGAGGTGTAGGGTACCCATAAATGCTTTAGTGACTGTGACAGAGGTAATAGTTACCCCAATCAGAAAAGCTCCTTTAAGACTTTGTAATTATTTTAGAGTGTTTAAAGAACTCGCTAGGATAACAAAGCATGCAGACTAGACAAGGCATTGTGAGCTAAAGATCACACAGAGAGAAAGAAAACAGTAGTTACTGTCTACTGCAGAAGTTCTCAAACTTAGAAGTGTCAGAATCACCCGAAGGACTTGTTAAATGACTTCCGGGTTACTCCTCCAAAATGGCTGTTTAGTATTTGGGGCTGGGAACTAAGAATTGCATTTCTGAAAATTTCCCAGATGCTGCTGCTGCTGCTGTTGATACAAAGATCATGTTTAAATAAAGTGAAGGTTGAACATAAGAAAAATGCTTGGTGGACCCATCTGTTCATAGATTGGGGAAAATTATAAGCAGGATGCAGAAATTCTATTTGGAGGTCAGAAATGAAACAGGCTGGAGGAAGAGCTATTGGCACATGTTAAATGTAGTTATCTTTTTTTCCCCTTTGAAAACTCACAGAAGGAGAAACTGACAGTAAGATTAGTGAAGAGTAACGACAAGAGAGGGGAAGAGAATTAATAACAAGTAACAAAACAGACAATGGTCTAGAGTCCACTCCACGCAGCTGCAGTGCTTAGGGGAAAGAATGGTGTGGAGCCTGCGACTCAGGGCCAATATCTTATTTATTTATTTATTTATTTATTTATTTATTTATTTATTTTTAAAGACTTATTTATTTATACAAGCACTGGGTACAGTCAGAAGTGCAGGAGGGTGAGAGAATTCACCAGAGCCAGAACAGGGAGCAGAACAGGTAGAAGGACCAAAGAACACTGCTGAGGGAACCAGCGGGCGCCGCACCCTCACAGAGGCTGGGGATCGAACCAGCGCTGCAGAGGCTGACTGGCAGCTTCGTAGCCCAGCGCTTAACCGCTGCACCACCAGGGAGGCCCCCAAAATATTATTTAGAGAAGGACGAAAAATGTACAGTTTCCTCACAATTACACCAAGTTTTCCTAGGAATGTAGAAAGTTGGAAAATGACATTAAAACTGGGAAATGCTCATAACACCATCATGCAGATAAGAATTCATGTGGCTGTCTTTTATAGGACACTTCAATAATCATTCACAAATATTTACTTGACAGCAAAGATTATCAACACATTTAGCTTTGGAAGTTGTATTATTCATTTATAGCAATATGCTAAGTGCTCCATTTAACAGGGAGAGGAAAACACAGATTTTTTTCCTTTGCTCTGATCTCCCACCTGATACAGGCCCTTACCAACTCACTCTCAGCAAATGCCACAGCCTTTTACTTGACCTTTCTGTTTCAGGTTCATAACTTTTCAAGATGATTTTTATGTGGATCCAAGAGTCATCTTAAACTGAAGCTCTGATAGCACCATTTGCTTGCTCATAAGCTTTCCATGAAACTCTTGTGGTTTTGTAAAACAAAGTACAAAGTCCTTAGTCTATATTCAGTGCTGTCATCATACTGCCTCAACTTGTCATCTGGCCTTAACTCCCATGACTGCTAGAAGGAACATTTTATTCTAACATATAAGACAGTACTTTGACTAAAAATGTTCTGTGTGCCTTTGCCCCTTAATTCTTACCATTCTCTCATCTGAAATATCCAAAACACCCTTCAAAATTCTTTCAGTCCTTCAGTCTTCTCCCTTAGCCATGCCTGACAACCCAAACTACAAGTTAGCTCTTCCGTCTTCAGAATTCTACAGTTCCTAGAGTGATGTGCAATGAAGAATCCTTGTCTGATCAACAGGACTAAAAGTTCCCTGAGGATGGTGTTTAAAATGCCTCTTTTTATTCTTCGTAGTCCATGCCATGGGACCTTGAATGTAATAAACACAAAAGTACTTAAAATGAGATTGATGGTACAAAAGGGAAGCTGGCTAATTATGATTATAGCCATACACATTATTTTACTGGGTTTTCCCCCATAGACTGTCATTCAATAAAGCAGTCATTTAATATGACACAGTCATTCATCAGCAACTTGGTTTAGACAAGTTGAGTTTCTTGTGTTGTTTGATTATGCTTAAAATCTTCAGAGAAGTTATTTGGAATATTCTTAAAAGGGCTTTTCAAGAAAATACCAGTTAGCACATACCTCTTACTAGTTTTGACTGCTAAATAAATATTTACTTCTATCTTTATTTCTAAACTCTTTGAGACCTAAGACTATATCGCATTTAGTTTTATTTTTGCCAGTCTGTGTGTGTTCACATCTCTTC